AAACAGTTGGACAATGAGAGGCACTTTGTGATGCCGTGTGTCCCAGAAAAACTGGATTAGGTACAGACACCCACCACCAGTAGCTTTGACAGGATCTGGAATGTCATAAACATGCAGCAGAAAAGGGATTTGCAAAGTATCTAACCTAGATGGAGGACCTGCGCCTGGATTCTCAGATAGCTGTGGAATTCTTAACCCTTTCCTCTCAGGGGAATTCCTTGTTTGTGTCACTAGAAGCCCTTTGAAGCATCAAAGCTCCAGAATCCAGGTGTAACAAAGGATGGAACCGCAGGTGGTTGGAGCTCAAAGTTCAGATCGGAACTTGGTAACCCAGCATGGACATGGGATCCTGAGTCTGGTCTCCCATTTTGGAAAGTAGTCCAGAATAGTCTTAACCGGTGCAGCCATCCATAGAGAGCAGCTGGCCCCCCTCCTCCCAGAACAGTGTGACTGGCACTGGATTGCCAAAGGCCAGCTGACACCCGTCTGCTTAGCCAGTAGACATGAGAGCAGGTATCCGTGTGTTGCAGAGAGCTGCCAGTGCTGCCGTGGGATTGTGGTGACTCTAACGAGTTTTAAATGTTTCCCAAACTTAGGGTTACCATATTTGAACTTTCCAAAAAGAGGACACCTGGTGCCTGCTGTTGCTGCTGCGGCTGTGGCTGCTCTACTCACACAGGAGACTGGGCTCAGGAGGAGGCAAACTCATCCCCATGCAGGCCACGCTTACAGTTCTGGGCGCCACCTTGCTGGATGTGGGTCTGGATCCTGATACAGCTGTGACATTCCCAGCCCTTTCATCTCAGGGGAAATCTTTGTCTGCATTTCTGACAGCCCTTTGGGTCACCCATGCTCTGTCCTACAGGGCTAACTAGAGGATGGGGTGCAGACGATTGGGGCTCGCTTCTCAGATCTGGCCTTGGTAACAAAGCAAGGAAACATGAGCCATGTTCCTAGCAGTGATGCAGCAGCACCTACGCTGCAGCGGCCACCTATAGAAAGTGTCTGGCTCCCTTCCCTGCATCAGAACAACGTGCTGGGCATTGGATTGGGAAAGGCCAGGTGACACCTGACTGTATCCACACAGGAGAGCAAATAACCCTGAGTCTGCTGCAGGGAGCTCATAGGGCTGTGCTGGAACTGGGGTGACTCTAGTGTGACTCTGATTTCAGCCCAAACTGCTCACTCAGCCCTGCCCTGCGCTGTTGGTGTTTCTAGTTCAGCATCATGTGAGGGCCAGAGCCACTGCCCAGGGGCTCTAATGTGGAGGTGGATGGACTTACCGAGCTTCTGAGTCAGCTTCTGGCATTCTGGGGAGAGAGGAAAAGGAGCCATTGATGGTTCAGCAAGGGGAGGTCTGAGAGGCGGGAGGTGGGATATTCCAATCTGTGGTACCTTGGCACTACCTCTGGTCCTGAGGCTCACAATGGGAGTGGAGCTGCAAGCAGTGGTCCTGCCCAATTCATTGTGCCACACGTGACAGGGTATGTGGGTATAGCAGGGGCAGCATTGTGGGCTGGCTGCTCAAGCAGAAGCCTTCTCAGACACCCTGTGCAGCTACTCAGATGGTGACTCTAAGCTGCATCCCTGCTGGTCTGGCCACTCTGCTACTAGGGCACCAGTTCACACAGAGCCAGTGGGTGTCTGGCTTCCCGAGCTAGGAGGCTTACTCCCAGCTGCAGTGTATATGCATGCAAAGGGCTCAGTCCAAAAAGCTGCTTTTAATGAACAACAGACATGGTCGAAGATCAGCTCCTACACAGAGCCCACATATTGCCCAGGGCAGCATCCGCAGGTGCTGGCATGGAAGTAAATGAAGGGCGAGAGCATCACACCAGAAAATGCATCCCAGAGATAGATGCCTACTCTGCTACAGCTTGTCACCCAGCCTCAGGCCTCTTAGTTCTGACATGCAATCTTTCTGGGGTGCCGATGTGGACAGTGGCTGGCAGGAGCTCAGCCTTGGGGAAAGGGCTTTGTGGGATGTGTGTGGGGAGGTCAAGTTTGGATATTAGGAAAAAGTTTCCCTAGGAGGGTGGTGAAGCACTAGAATGGGTTCCCTAGGGAGCTGGTGGAATCTCCATCCTGAGAGGTGTTTAAGTCTCAGCTTGACAAAGCCCTGGCTGGGTTCATTTAGTTTGGGTTGGTCCTGGCAGGGGGCTGGACTTGATGACTCCTGAGGTCTCTTCCAGCCCTAGGCACGGGCAGTGTTTCTCTCATTGGGACCCCTGCAGGCTCAGTTCTCTCTCAGTTCTGTGGCATGTGGTTGTGCATGGAGACTCTTGGCAGGGGACAGAGTTCAGAGCCCTGTGCAGCCCTGAGTAAGAGGAAGCAGCTGAGGGCTTGTAGGTGAGATCTGGGCTTTCAGGGAGCCCCTTGTTGCCTTTGGGTTCCCTGCAATTGTACGGCTGGCAGGTCCTCAGTGCGACCACTGGCTGCAGGGCAGGAAATGGGATTCCAGATACAGCTCTTCAGCTGGAGGGACCAGGGCTGAGATAGCAGGTGGCTTCTGTGGGTGACTGATTGGAACAGGCAGAGCTGTGTGTGTCGGGGAGCCCAGCATGGGAATAGCAGGGATTTTGCAGGTCAGAACTGAGCTGTAGCATCACAATGGCAGGGAAGAAGTTTGCCCAGAGTCTCATTGAATCCCACTAACCCCCGTGCACAACAGTCACTCTGGTCATTAGGGATGATACTGAAATGGGAGCTGCAAACCCTACAGAGTTTGACAGTTTTCAGGGTGGGAGAGATGACCGGAAAGTTGATTGAGGCCCAGACAATGTGCATGGTGATTTTCTTAGCACAGACACACACAGCTCCCAGGGATTATCCAAGTACCTCTTGTTAATCGCTCATTGTCCTTTGTTTGGGACTCTGAAATGGGAAGAGAAAAGGGTTAGACACAGAGTCACGCTGTGAGATCCTGTGTGCGCCACAACAACTGGGCTGCTCATTGTCCTTCCTTTGGGACCCTGAAATGGGAAGAGAAAAGGGTTAGACACAGAGTCACGCTGTGAGATCCTGTGTGCGCCACAACAACTGGGCCCCACTGTCACACTCCCAGCCCATGGCAGGGTCAGGAGCTTTGCTAAGAGCAGAGCTGATGGTGAATGACACATGACAATGTACAGGAGCCCTGGGACTAGCAAAGCATCCAACACTGATGGCAGACGTGGGTCTGGATCCAGATACAGCTCTGACATTCTCAGCCTTCTGGCTCCGGGGAATTTGTCTGTTTTCATCAGAAATCCACACTCCAGGTGTGGCTAGGGGACAGATGTGCAGATAATGGGGCTCAGACCTGGGATCTGTCCTTGTCCTCCAGCTTGGAAACGTGAGTTACTTTTGGAGAATGGCCCAGAGGAGCCTGTACTGCTGCACTTATCTGTAGAAAGTGGCTGCCCCCTTCTCCTGCATCAGCACAATGTGGGTGGTGCTCAGTTGCCAAAGGCCAGGAGCCCCCGTCCATCTAACCTGACGTGAGACCAGGCGACCCATTGCCTGTGGCACACAGTTCCCGCTGCTGCCGTGGGACTGGGCTGACTCTAATGTGACTCTGACTTCAGCCCAAACTGTTCCCTGAGCCCAGACCTGCTGTGTTGGTGCGTCCGGATCAGTTCTGCATGGAGTGCGACTGGGAACCTCTATCTGGGGCTGTCGTAGGGAGGGAGATGGACTTACCGAGAGTCACATGCAGTTTGCTGTTCTCTGGGGAGGGAAGCAGAGGAGAGAATCATGGAGTCAGTGAGAGTCATTCCAAGCACGGTGCCATGGGGCTGTTCCAAGCTCTGCCTACAGCCACACTGCAGCTGGGAGTGAGCGTCCCTGTCTGGGCAGCAGACACAGGCTTGCTCTGCTTGTGCTCATGCACTGAAAGAAACAGAGCAGCTGGGAGCAGCATGAGGAGCAGCTGGGGAGAGATGATCCAGCACAGTCCACCCTAGATTCTGAGGTACGTACTCGACTGGCCACAATTAGCCACTATTCCTGCTACCCCACCAGCTCTAGTATTTAAATACCCCCCCAACACACCCTGGAAACCCAGCTAGTGTGTGTCTGGCTACACAACCTGCCGTGTAGAGACGACCTGTGAGCCAAGGGTCTCAGATCCAACAGGGCAGGGCAGACAAGACTGGTTAATAAGCAGATGACGAGTGACAGATTAGCCCATAAACAGAGCCCACAAATGGCTCAGTGGAGGATCATCTCTCTACTGATGGGAATGAAAGAAGGGAGTATCACTCCTAAACATGTGTGCCATAGAGAGAGGCCTGCCTTGCCACAGCCTGTCACCCAGCCTCAGGCCTCTTATTTGTGTGCTGTGCAACCCCTGTGTTGCACTGATTTGCACAAGTGTGTCACTCTAGGGTGAGTGGTTGGCAGGAGTTCAGCTGAAGAAAGCCTCCAGAGGACTGTGTGGCTCTGGAATTACTGCCCAGATACAAGAGGTTAGGTCTTGTCCCATGGCACATGGACACGCAGTGGGTTGTATTTCCTGTCCATATGTAACTCTCTGAGCACGTACAGAGCAGATTAATATTTGGAATCTTCCTTCATTTGTGGCAGGTTTGCCCAGGGCTGGGATAGTGGGGCCTGCGCCTGGGCACTGAGGGACTCCAGCCGAGCTGGGTGCAGGCAGGGAGCTCACACATGGGGGGACAGACACTGTGAACACCAAAATTGACAAATCGACTTGCGTGGAGGACATTTGTTCTATCCCCACCTCAGGAGTTGTCTACACAGCCCCTTACCTTGGCCTCCACGCCTGTGAGTTACTGAACCCACCAAAGTGCAGCTTAGAGACAGCCCCGTGGCAGTACTGCTGGAGCGCACCGATGGGACTGGGTTTCTATTCAGAAAGTCCTCTTCAAATAGGCCTTTGTGAAAGCAAACCAGGAACTTTTCAGTTCAGTCCCGCAGCATCCACGTAGCATGCTTAGAGTAGCACGTTGGTTGGCATTTCTATGTATGTCTCATATTCTGAGCCATTGGGCAGTGCAGAGATAGCGGAGTCCTGCCTGCCTAGATACCTTCAATTCATTCATCATGGTTAAGGGTGGTACTAAAATCTGGGCTGCCGTGTCCAATACTGCCCAGGGGAGGAGAGATGATCATGAAGGTGACTCAGTTCATACATCACACAGGGGATTTTTCTATCATGTTGCAGTTTAAGCCCACAACGGACATTACGTAGGGGTTTAGCCACTTACTAGATTCATGGGCCTTTGTCTCCGCATCTGAAACAGGGAAGAGAAAACAGTTGGACAATGAGAGTTGCTTTGTTATGTTCTGTATCCCAGAATAACCGTGTTAGGGACAAACACCCACCGCCACTGTCCCAGCCACACTGCCTGAGCCAGCAGTTTTGACAGGAGTTGGACTATCGTTTAGTAAATCCCCAACACGCACCAAAACAAGGGATTTGCAAAGTATCTAATGTAGATGGAGGACTGAGATTGGATTCTCAGCTAGCTGTGGAATTCTTAACCCTTTGCTCTCAGGGGAATTCCTTGTTTGTGTCACTAGAACTCCCTTGGAGCATCAGAGCTCCTCATTCCAGGTGTAACTAGGGGATGCACCTGCAGATGGTTGGAGCTCAGAGTTCGGATTGGCCCTTGATAACCCAGCATGGACATGGGAACCTGAGTCTCAGATTCTGGGAAATGGCCCAGAAGAGGGTGCACTGCTGCAGCCATCCACAGACAGCAGCTAGCCCCTCCTGGTCCATCAGAACAGTGTGACTGGCACTAGATTGCCAAAGGCCAGCTGACACCCGCCTGCCCAACCAGTAGACCTGAGAGCAGGTATCCCTGTGTCTGTTGCAGAGAACTCCCAGTGCTGCTGTGGGACTGGGCTGCTCTGATGAGTTTTAAATATTTCCCAAACTTGGTGATACCATTTTGAGCTTTCCAAAAAGAGGACACCTGGTGCCTGAGACTGGGCTCAGGAGCAGGCAAACTCGCCCCCGCACACGTGGCTCTGGGCCTTGCTGAATGTGGGTCTGGATTCCAATACAGCTGTGACATTCCCAGCCCTTTCATCTCAGGGGAAAACCTTGTCTGCATTTATGACAGGCCTTTGGGACAACCATGCTCTGTACTACAGGGCTGACTAGAGGATGGGGGTGCAGATGACTGGGGCTCACATCTGAGATCGGGCCTTGGTAGCAATCAAGGAAACATGAGCCATGTTCTAGCAGTGACCCAGCAGCACCTGCGCTGCAGCAGCCACCTATAAAAAGTGTCTGGCTCTGTTCCCTGCATCAGAACAACGTGCTGGGCATTGGATTGGGAAAGGCCAGGTGACACCTGACTGTATCCACACAGGAGAGCAAATAACCCTGAGTCTGCTGCAGGGAGCTCATAGGGCTGTGCTGGAACTGGGGTGACTCTAGTGTGACTCTGATTTCAGCCCAAACTGGCCACTCAGCCTGGCCCTGTGCTGTTGGTGTTTCTAGATTTGCTCAGGATCATGTGTGACTGGGAGCCTCTGCCCAGGGCCTCTAATCGGGAGGTGGATGGACTTACCCAGCTTCTGACTCAGCTCCTGGAGTTCTAGGGAGAGAGGAAAAGGAGACCATGATGGTTCAGCAAGGGGAGGTTTGAGAGGCAGGAGGTGGGTTATTCCAATCTGTGGTATCTGGGCACTTCCTCTGGCCCCGAGCCTCACAATGGGAGTGGAGGTGAAGGCAGTCACCCTGCCTCATCTATTGTACCACATGTGGCAGGGTAACTAGGTGTGGCAGGGGCGGCATTGTGAACTGGCAGCTCAAGCAGAAGCCTTCTCGGACACCCTGTGCAGCTACTCACCTGGTGACTCTGAGCTGAATCCCTGCTGCTCTGGCCACTCTGCTACCAGGGCACCAGCTCACACAGAGCCAGTTGGTGTCTGGCTTCCCAAGCTAGGAAGCTCGCTCCCAGCTGTAGTGTAGACGCATGCAAGTGGCTCAGCCCAGAAATAGTGCTTTTAGTGAACAAGATCAGCCCCTAAACAGAGCCCACACATTGTCCCAGGGCAGCTTCCCCAGGTACTGGCACGGCAGGGAATGAAGGGAGGGACCATCACATCAGAACATGTATCCCACAGAGAGACCTGCCCAGTAACAGCCTCTTATTTCTGTGTCGTGCAATCCCTGTCCGAGGCTGTTCTGCACAACTGTGAAACTCAAGGGTCAGTGGTTGGCAGGAGCTGAGCTGGGCAGGCCTCCCTGGGGCATATGGCTGTGGATGCACTGCTCCCCCAGACGCCCCGGGTCAAACTCCATCCTATGGTCTCAGGGATACAGTGTTGACTGTGGGAGCCATCTGAGTGTGTGTCACTGTTCAGAGCTGGGTTTTCAGTCTCCACTTAAGTGAGGCCCAGGCCCAGGATGAAGAGGGGAAACACAAGGCTGCTGGAGTTCAGGGCTGGGATAACAGTGAAGTCGTTGTTCCATGGGACACTAGCAGTTCCAGGTTTGCCCAGGGCTGGGATAATGGGGCCTGTGCCCGGGCACTGAGGGACTCCAGCCGAGCTGGGTGCAGGCAGGGAGCTCACACATGGGGGGACAGACACTGTGAACACCAGAACTGACAGATATTGACTTGCGTGGAGGACATTTGTTCTATCCCCACCTCAGGGGTTGTCTACACAGCCCCTTACATCAGCCTCCATTCCCGTGAGTTACTGAGCCCACCAAAGTGCAGCTTGGAGACTTCCCCGTGTAAGGGCTGCTGGAGCGCACCAATGGGACCGGGTTTCTATTCAGAAAGTCCTCTTCAAATAGGCCTTTATGAAAGCAAACCAGGAACCTTTTTGTTAAGCCCGACAGCATCCACGTAGCATGGTTAGAGTAGCACATTGGTTGGCATTTCTATGTATGTCTCATATTCTGAGCCATTGGGCAGTGCAGAGATAGCTGAGTCCTGCCTGCCTAGATACCTTCAATTCATTCATCATGGTTAAGGGTGGTACTAAAATCTGGGCTGCCGTGTGCCATACTGTCCAGGGGAGGGGAGATGATCATGAAGGTGACTCAATTCATACATCACACAGGGATTTTTTCTATCATGTTGCAGTTTAAGCCCACAACGTAGGGGTTTAGCCACTTACTAGATTCATGGGCCTTTCTCTCCACATCTGAAACAAGGAAGAGAAAACAGTTGGACAATGAGAGGTGCTTTGTTATGTTCTTTGCCCCAGAATAAATGGTTTAGGGACAGACTTCCACCGCCACTGTCCCAGCCACACTGCCTGAGCCAGCAGTTTTTACAGGAGCCGGACTGTCATTTAGTAAACCCCCAACATGCATCAGAAAAGGGATTTGCAAAGTATCTAATGTAGATGGAGGACCTGTGCCTGTATTCCCAGCTCACTGTGGAACTCTTAACCCTTAACCCTCCAGGTGTGGATATGGGACAGACATGCAGATAATGGGGCTCAGACCTGGGATCTGTCCTTGCCCTACAGCATGGAAATCTGAGTTACATTTGGAGAGTGGCCCGGTAGAGCCTGTACTGACGCATTTATCTGAAGAAAGCAGCTGCCCCCTTCTCCTGCATCAGCACAATGTGGGAGGTGCACAGTTGCCAAAGACCAGGTGCCCCCGTCTATCTAACTGGACGTGAGTGCAGGTATCCAGTGCCTGCGGCACACCGCTCTCAGTGCTGCCGTGGGACTGGGCTGATTAATGTGACTCTGACTTCAGCTCAAACTGTTCCCTGAGCCCGGCCCTGCAGTGTTGGTGCTTCTGGATTTGTTCAGCACGGTGTGCGACTGGGAGCCTCTATCTGGGGCTGTCGTGGGGAGGGGGATGGACTTACCAAAATTCTCCTGCAGCTCGCACTTATCTGGGGAGGGAAGCAGAGGAGAGAATCATGGAGTCAGTGAGAGTCATTCCAAGCACAGTGCCAAGGGGCTGTTCAAAGCTTTGCCTACAGACACAGGCTCGCTCTGCTGGAGCCAATGCACTGAAAAAACAGGGCAGCCGGGGAGCAGCTGGGGCGAGCTGATCCATCACAGTCAAACCTTGTCTGTGAGGCACTTACTCAACTGGCCACAATTAGCCACTTTCCCTGCTACCCCACCAGCACTAGTATTTGAATACCCCCCTCCCTGAAACCCAGCTAGTGTGTGTCTGGTTACACGAATGAGGCAGCACCCACCAACCTGCCCTGTAGCTGTGACCCAGGAGCCAAGGCTCTCAGAACTGACAGGGTAGGTCACACAAAACTGGTTAATAGGCAGCAGACAAGTGACAGATTAGCCCATAAACAGAGCCCACAAATGGCCCTAGGGGGCAGCACCCTCCACTTATGGGAATGAGGGAAGGGAGCATCACTCCTGAATATGTGCCATAGAGAGAGGCCTGCCCTGCTGCAGCCCGTCACCCCACCTCAGGCCTCTTATTTCTGTGCCGTGTAACTCCTGTGGTGCACTGATTTGCACAAGTGTGTAACTCCTGGGTCAGTGGTTAGCAGGAGTTTAGCTGTAGAAGGGCTCTATGGAGCTGGGCAGCTCTGGATTCACAGCTCACCCCAAAATACAAGGGCTCAGGTCTTGTCCCAGGTCACTGTGGGTTGGGGATCCTGTCTAAATGTAGCTCACTGAGCAGATACCGAGTGGATTGGTATTGGGAATCTTCCTACATTTGTGGGCAGGGGGAGGGCAGAGTGGCGGGGAGGGAGCAGGGTTGGGAAGTACAGGGCCAGGGTCGCAGGCACGTAGTGAGTCAGGAACGATGGGCAAGAGCAGCGCCATGGGTAACCCAGGGCTTGGAGTGTGGGCTTCTGGGCATTAAGAGGCACCTCAGAGCTGTGTGCAAGGCAGGAGGCCCAGCACTCGGACAGCAGATATTTTACGTCAGAACTGAGATGTATCCACAGAATTGCAGGGAGGAAGTTTGCTCAGCCCCTGGCTCAGGGCTTGTCTAAGCAGTGTCATATTTGGGCCTATGGGGGTGTGATTTGCCATACACCCCAAAGCTCTGCTCTGCACCTGAAAAGGAGACTGACATAGGCTCAGTGGGGCTGTTCCAAGCTCTGAGTAAGTCTATGCCACAGCTGGGAGGGAGCTTTCCAGCCTGGGTTGCCAGGCATGTGCTGGCTCTGCTTGAGATAATGAACTGAAAGTTACAGGATAGCAGGAGTAGCACGTACAGCAGCTTGTGCCAGTTGCTTAAGTACCAACTCTTGGACCCTCTGGGTATTTACCCTGCCCTGGAACCCACCCACACAGCTATCGATAGCGCCCTGCTATGTTAGCGCTCTGGCTCCAGCAGCACTAGCCTGTGTCTGTCTCCTTGGGCTGAGAACGTCCCTCCCAGCTGTAGGACAGACGCACCCAAAGAGCCACTGGTCTCAGAACTGACAGCACAGGTCAGACAACACTGTTGTTAGGCCCAGATCAGCCACTAATCAGAGCCCACAGATTGCCCCAGGCGCAGCACCCCGAGGTGATGGCCCTGCTGGGAATGAGGGCAGGAAGCATCCCACCAGGACATGTATCCCACAGACAAAGGCCTGTGCTGCTGCAGCCTGTCACTCAGCCTCAGGCCTCCTGTTTCTGTGCCATGCAATCCTTGTGTGATGCTGATCTGCACAAGTGTGTAGCTCTAGGATCACTGGCTGGCAGGTGTTTACCTGGGGAAAGGCTCTGTGGGCTCTGTGGTCCTGGATTTACTGCTCACCCTTGGAGTGGTGGGTCTGGACCTGTCTCTATTGCCATGGGAAAACTGTTAGAACACTCCTCACTGAGCTCGCCCAGGGCACTGGAGGGTTTGGAGTCTGTGTTAAGTCAAGATTAAAGCTAGTGTGGCAGCTGGGGGGAGAGAGAACTGGGCATGACTGGGGAGTTCAGAGCTGGGGTAGCAGGGTGGCAGTGGGCTGGGGATGAGGACCCTGGGATTGTCCTGGGGAGCCCAAAGCTGGGATAGTGTGGGATTGTGCCTGGTGAGTGAGGGACACAACCAGAGCTGCGTGCGCACAGGGAGCTCAGAAATTGGACTCTGCCACACAGGGGTGTGGACGGGGAGCCCTTGACATCAGGGAGAACTCTGGGTAAAGGCATTGGGAGTGGGGACTCAGATCCTTTTGTTAGCCCATTGCACTGAGGCAGTGTAGCATAGGAACAGGTTTTTAACCCACTGTAACAGATAGTGGCCCTCTGATATAGCAGTAGGCCCTTAAACTATGGTCTCTGACTCAGCTTTCCAGAGGCCTGCTGTTCAGTTGGCCTAAGACCCATAAGACCCAGCTATAGCCTTGATTTCAATGGGTAACAGGATGCGTATAAATAGGAATCCTGCCTGTTTATCCTAAAGGAAAGAGCCAAAGCAGCACACCATTAGGTAGGGAGCCATAACTGAACTGTCATGTGATAAGTGTCACACACCGATACAAGGCCAAAGCCCTGGAAGGGGCCCCAGAGTCTGGGTCATTGTTCTAAGAAAGAAACAACAGCCGCCTTCTCGAGGCCAACCACCAATCGTTGCTAAGGAACTAGAGATATTGACCCCCTGTCACAAGCCCAACTTACCAAATCTATCAGCAGTTTACTTTAAGTAATTGCTTGCTGCCTCTCTCATTTTGTTTTGCGGTTTGCTCTGTACCCCTAGACAAGCACCCATGGACCATACCTGTCACCTGTCGGGGAAACACTGTGACCACTCCTATGCACCCCAAGTGGACTCATAGACTTTAAGGTCAGAAGGGACCATTATGATCATCTAGTCTGACCCCCTGCACAGTGCAGGCCACAGAATCCCACCCACCCCTCCTAGAATAATCCTCTACCCTATATCTCAGATACTGAAGCCTTCAAATACTTTGAAGACCACAAGATGCAGAGAATCCTCCAGCTGTGATCTGCGCCCCATGCTACAGAGGAAGGCGAAAAACCTACGCCTCACACATTTTGTGGGGAGGGGTTGGGACAAATACTTGTGTTTAGCAATTGTGTTAAACTGATCCCTGGGCAGAGTTACTATGTCATCTTTTGGCTTATTAGCTTATAATTGCTTGCTGCTAGAACCTATCCAGGGGCTAAGGCATTCCCACACTATCCCTTCTCTCTCTGTCCAACAGCTCCCTTTTGTAGTCTATTGTAATCATTGACTTGGCAGTGTTCCCAGAGACAAGTTATCCAGGTACCTGATTGCAGCTGCTCGATCTCTTTCTCCTTTGACTCTAAAATGGAAAGATAATAGACTGAGATGCAGAATCGCACTGAGTGAGGCCCTGTGCCCCAGAATGACCATGGTTAGTTACAGACAACCCCAGCCAGAGTCCCATCATCAGAGCATGAGCCAGCAGCCTTTACAGCAGTGGGGCTAGCAGATAGTGATATGCAACAACCCACAGGAGCCCTGTCACTTGCAAACCATCTAACCATGGGTACGTCTACACTACATCGCTAGTTCGAACTAACTTTCTAGTGTAGACATACCCCATGAGTGCAGACGTGGGTCTGATCCTGATACAGCTCTGACATTCCCAGCCCTTTCATCTCAGGGGAAATCCTTGTCTGCATTTCTGATAGCCCTTTGGGGTGCCCATGCTGTGTCCTACAGGACTAACTAGAGCATGGGGGTGCAGATGATTGGGACTCACATATGAGATCGGGCCTTGGTCATAAAGCAAGGAAACATGAGCCATGTTCTCGCACTGGCCCAGCAGCACCTGCGCTGCAGCAGCCACCTATAGAAAGTGTCTGGCTCTGTTCCCTGCATCAGAACAACGTGCAGGGCATTAGAATGGGAAAGGCAAGATGACAGCTGACTGTGTATCCACACAGGAGAGCAAATAACCCTGAGTCTGCTGCAGGGAGCTCATAGGGCTGTGTTGGGACCAGGGTGACTCTAGTATGACTCTGATTTCAGCCCAAACTGGTCACTCAGCCCTGCCCTGTGCTGTTGGTGTTTCTAGATCCACTCAGCATCATGTGTGACTCGAAGCCTCCGCTCAAGGACTCTAATGGGGAGGTGGATGGACTTACCACAGTTCTGACGCAGCTTCTGGAGTTCTAGGGAGAGAGGAAAAGGAAACCATGATGGGTTCAGCAAGGGGAGGTTTAGAAGTGGAAGGTGGTTTATTCTGTGGTACCCGGGCACTGCGTCTGGACCTGAGCCTCACAATGGGAGTGGAGCTGCAGGCAGTGGCCCTGCCCAATCCATTGTGCCACACGTGGCAGGGTACGTGTGTTTAGCAGGGGCAGCGCTGTGGGCTGGCTGATCAAACAGAAGCCTTCTCAGACACCCTGTGCAGCTACTCAGATGGCGACTCTGAGCTAATCAGATGGCGACTCTGAGCTGCATCCCTGCTGCTCCGGCTACTCTGCTACCAGGGCACCAGCTCATGCAGAGCCAGTGGGTGTCTGACTTCCCGAGAAGGAGGCTCGTTCCCAGCTGCAGTGTAGACACATGCAAGGGGCTCAGCCCAAAAAAGGCACTTTTAGTGAACAACAGGCAAGGTGCAAGATCAGCCCCTAAAAGAGCCCACACATTGCCCTGGGGCAGCATCCCCAGGTGCTGGCACAGCAGGGAATACCACACCAGAACATGCATCCCAGAGAAAGAGGCCTGCCCTGCTGCAGCCTGTCACCCGGCCTCAGGCCTCCTAGTTCTGTGACATGCAATCCCTCTTGGGTGCTGATCTGGACAAGGGTGTAGTTTTATGGTCAGTGGCTGGCAGGAGCTCAACCCTGGGGAAAGGGCTTTGTCGGATGTGGGGGGTGGGGGAATCTATGTTGGATATTAGGAAAAACTATTTCCCTAGGAGGGTGGGGAAGCACTGGAATGGGTTCCTTAGGGAGGTGGTAGAATCGCTATCCCTCAAGGTTTTTAGGTCCCAGCTTGAAAAAGCCGTAGCTGGGTTGATTGAGTTGGGATTGGTCCTGCTTTGGGGAGGGGGCTGAACTTGATGACTCCTGAGGTCTCTTCCAGCCCTGGGCATAGGCAGTGTTTCTCCCATTGGGACCACTGCAGGCTCAGTTCTCTCCCAGCACCGTGGCTTGTGGCTGTGTGGGAGGTGACTCCTAGCGGGGGACACAGTTCAGAGCCCTGGGCAGCCCTGAGCAGGAGGAAGGAGCTGAGGCCTGGTAGGTGAGGTCTGGGCTTTCAGGGTTCCTTACTGCTTTTGGGTTCCCTGCAATTGTAGAGCTGGCAGGTCCTCAGTGTGACCACTGGCTGTAGGGCAGGACATGGGGTGACCTGACCAGCTCTGCAGCTGGCAGGACCAGGGCTGAGATAGCAGGGGTTGCTGGGGGTGCTGAGGGGAACTGGCAGAGCTGTGTGTGTTGGGGAGCCCAGCATGGCTTGTGGCTGTGTGGGAGGTGACTCCTAGCGGGGGACACAGTTCAGAGCCCTGGGCAGCCCTGAGCAGGAGGAAGGAGCTGAGGCCTGGTAGGTGAGGTCTGGGCTTTCAGGGTTCCTTACTGCTTTTGGGTTCCCTGCAATTGTAGAGCTGGCAGGTCCTCAGTGTGACCACTGGCTGTAGGGCAGGACATGGGGTGACCTGACCAGCTCTGCAGCTGGCAGGACCAGGGCTGAGATAGCAGGGGTTGCTGGGGGTGCTGAGGGGAACTGGAAGAGCTGTGTGTGTTGGGGAGCCCAGCATGGGAATAGCAGGGATTTTGCAGGTCAGAACTGAGGTGTAGCAACATGATGGCAGGGAAGGAGTTTGCCCAGAGCCTCATCAAATCCCACTAATATCCATGCACAACAGCCACTCCAGTCATTAGGGATGATACTGAAATGGAACTTGCAAACCCTGCAGGGTTTCACTATTACCAGGGTATGGAGAAATGACCAGAAAGGTGACTGACGCCCAGACATCGTACATGGTGATTTTCTAAGCACAGACACACACAGCTCCCAGGGTTTATCCAAGTACCTGTTGTTAACTGCTCATTGTCCTTCTTTTGAGAGTCTGAAATAGGAAGAGAAAAAGGTTAGACACAAAGATGTGCTGTGAGATCCTGTGTGCTCCACAACAACTGGGCCCCACTGCCGCACTCCCAGCCCCACAGCAGGGGTCAGGAGCTTTGATAAGAGCAGAGTGGATGGTGACTGACACACACCAATGTGCAAGAGCCTTGGGATTGGCAAAGCATCCAACACTGATGACAAACATGGGTCTTGATCCTGATACAGCTCTGATGCAACTCCCAATACAACTCTCAGCCCTGAAGTTGCCCAAGTAGCTATCAGGGGTGCCCACCACATGCAGCAGTGCTGGAAGTTTTTCCCTCAGCAGTATCCAAAGAGGACCAGCTCCAGCGCCCCCTGCATATGCCAGGCCTCCCCATCCCACCTCGGTTCCTTTTTGCTGGAAACTCTGACAGTGGGGAAGGCAGTAGGAATGTTGAATGGACATGGGCAGCACATCTTGAAGAGCATCAATTATGAAAACGGATCTTTCCTTCAAGTGCTTGCTCATGTGCGTTCAATGGAGGCGACTCTGAGCAGTATCTTCAGAAGCAGGAAGGAGTTTAAAGACATGCTGATAGCAACAGTTTTGCTGAACCCAACATCCTTCTTAGCCTGTTGTATGGTGATAGTGGAGTGGGACGTGAAGGCTGGGAAGGCTGCCAAAGAAGCCTGTGTCTTCATAGAGTGCACTCTCACCAATGGAGGTGGTTGTGTCTCTGCCTACTCATAGCACGTTAGGATGCAAGAGGTTAGAGATCCTCTGTGTGGATACTGAGAGACCTTTCCTCCTTTTGGCAGACACACTAAAAACTTGGAATGGCCTGCAAAATGGGTTTGTCTGATCTAAGTAAACAGGAAGTGCTATCCTGACATCTGGGGCAGGGAGGCACCTTTCCTCATTGGTATTATGTGGTTTTGTGGGTAGAAGACCAGGAAGAAGATGTCCTGCCCCATGTGGAAAGCAGAGACCACCTTCGGGAGGAAGGCTGTGTAAGGCCAGAACTGCACCTTGTTCTTAAAGAAGACAGTATAAGGTGGCTCTGACATCGGTGCAAGGAGTTGAGACCCTCCTGGTGCATGTTATTGTTATCAGAAATGCTACCTTCAATGACAGGTGTGAGAGGGAGCAGGAAAGCCCATGTTCAAAGGGCTGCCCCATCAGCCTGCAGAGGACCAGTTTAAGGTCCTACTTAGGGACTCAAACCGGTGGAAAGAGCCTCTCAAGACCTTTCAAACCCCTGATTGAGATGTCATTAGTGGTCTTGAGCTGGCAGGTGGAAGGCCAAAATTGCTGCCAAATGTCCAGCCCTGATGGAAGAAGTAGTCCAAAATAGTTTGTAAAGAAGCATCAGAAAGGATACCCCCTTTCTGTGTGTCCACACTGAGAATCTCATCTACTTTGCCAGGTGTCTCTGCCTGCTTATCATCTTTCGGCTTTCTAGGAGGACTCATCACACTCTCTCTGAATAGGATTGCTCTTCTGGGTTCAGCCACAAAGCATCCATGTCCTGAGGTAGAGAGACTCCGTGTTTGGGTGCACAAGAGAGACATATTCCTGGGACAGCAAGTCCAGTTCAATCAGCAGGACCAAGGGCAGCAACTCTACAAGATTCATGAGGGTTTCTGAACCACCACTGGTAGGGCCACGCTGATGCAGTAAGAATGACTTGAGCCCTGTCCTCCTTGATCTTCTGCAGGAATTTTCCAATTAGGGGAACTGGAGGGAACACGTACAGTAGCCCCTCCCTCCAGGGAAGGAGGGAATTTTCTGAACAGAACCCTTTTTCTAGACCTTTCCTGGAGGAGAAAGTGAGACATTTCCTGTTCAGACTGGTCCAAGCAGGTCCACGTGGGGATGCACTGCTTCTGAATAATAATAAACAGCCCACTCATGCAGAGAAGAGAACTGCCTCCTCAGCTGATCAGTGACCATGTTCCTTGTCCCTGCCTGCAAAGAGACGTCATGGAGAACACAAAACCCCAGAGATGGACGATCTCTTGGCAAAGCGCAATGAACATGCCTGTTCCTGCCTGCTGATGTAGAACATTGTGGCCGTGTTGTCCATGAGGACTCTGGCTACTCTGCCTGGCAGGTGAAAGAGGAAGATCTTTCACACCTTGTGCATCACTCTGAGCTGCTTGACATTTCTGTGAAAGGCTGTTTCCTCTGTGGACCACTTGTGTTGTGTCTGCAGGTTGCTGAGATGAGCGCCCAATCCAGGTCTCAAGTATTGGACACCAGATTGTCTTAATAAGGGGTGGCCCAAACACTGCTCATGTCATGAGTAAGTCATCATGAAGCGAGTCAAGAACCTATGCTAGGATGGTCACTACCCAAACCAGAGGTGCCTGGAGAGTGTGTATACATACTTCAGCCACTGTTGTACGGGGCACAGCCTCAGTCTGGCATAACACACCATGTAGGTGCATGCTGCCATGTGGCCCAGGATACAGAGGCAGACCTTGGAAGTGGTCAGCAGAGAGGTGAAGATTTCCATGATGAAATGCACCAGTGTGAGGAACCATTCCATTCTCTCCACCTGTCATTGGTGTTTCCCTGCGTGTGTGTGTGCAGAGCCCATCAGAACCAGCCAGCACCATCACAGCGCACTGCTGTATTGTTCTTAAACACTGAAACATTCACAGTGAATACATTAGACGTGTGGACTTTAAAAAATGCTGCTGCTGTATCTACTAGTGCAGCTCAGGAGAGTGAAGGTCACAGATTCACAGAGTTTCAGGCTTGATGGGACCATTAGATCATCTCCTCTGACCTCCTGGCTCCTTCCTCTTCATTGCCCTGAGCCCACAGATACACCAACCAGTCACAGAGCTCACACAGCTCAACAGACAGAGCAAGAGACAGAGCAGGAGACCTACCAAGAGATAACAGAGCCTCCTCTTCAGTGCGTTTCTTCTCAGAGAACTTTTGCTTCCCTGTGAGACAGAATCAGACATTGCCGTGAGACAGGGAAGGAAGGCGGCATTGAGCAATTTGCTAAAAAAGGTGGGGTTTGGACCCCCCCCCCAGTGTGTTTGTTAGTTTGGTTTAGCTCCTAAAACCAACCCAAGGTCAATATATCTAAACAATAAGATGCTCCCAGGCCCCAGCCCAGGGCCCCCATAGGGCCGAGCTCTAAATATGCAAATGTACCAGTCCCATTACCTGTGTATCCAATATATGCACAGGCTCCAGCAGCGATGAGAACCAGAGCGAGCAAGGCCCAGAATGCAGTCAGCCAGGGAGACACTCGGGGGAAGACGTCACCTGGCAAACAGAGCACAGAGTGTGAGGAGCACAGTCCCAACCTGTAGCTGAAGAACAGGGTTTGTCACTTGGTTTGAAAGCTGAGGGCTGGCTCAGGGACCCCAGAATTTCCCAAGACTGAAGGGAACATTCCTTCCAGGCTCTAATCACAGACACAAATGGGAGCTATTGAAATCAGAGAAGCCAGCACAGCATCAGTCCCAAGAACCAGGGCTCTGCCCTGCCCAAAACTCTCCTGTTGCTACAAGCCTATAGCAAGCAGCTCTGTGCTCAGCCTGCCCAGCCCTTCCTGCACCAGCTTACTGTTTTGATGGTCAGTGTCACACCTCCCAATTCTCAGTCATCATGGCCAGTCCAGAGAAGTTCAGCATAACCTGAACTGCTAGATTTCTGGCTGGAAGGGAGGTTTCCAGACCTCTTATTCTTATTATAGATATTTTCTGAACACTTTCCACTTTGTTAACATCCTATTTGAAAGACACCAGGACAACAGTATCCTGCAGTGGTCTGGCTAACATCATAGACAGAAGTAACGTCACCTCCTTTCTCCTGCTAGATATTTGTGCGCACACGGGTTAACCATCTTAGCTCCAGTACCGCTCTGGGAGCTCCCATTCAAATCCTTTTCAAAATCACTGCTTTCCAGGACACACCATCCTACCTTTAATTGAGATGTGCACTCTTTGCTCATAGACGTGTGACCTGATATCTGGCCATGTTGAAATGCACATGTGGTGAAATGGGAACTTATAAAGCCTGTGTGTGTTTGGTTTCCTCCACATGCTGTATTGCTACTTAGTGGGGGGTAAACATCTGTTTGCCCTCTGGGCAGGCTAAAATCAGGTGCAAATGGTACATAGCTGTCTGGTCTCCAGGTCCCATATCAATTCAGCACCTGATAAAACAATGACAGATCCAGTCATGGGGACCTCAATACTGAGCAACTAAGGACCATGGATGCCTCAGCTCGTGGCAGGAATCCAAGCAGGGTTTGCCCCTGCTAGGGAGCAAATGACTGGGGATGTGAATTGGAAGCTGAAACTGAACTGGAAGAAGCAGTGGGGGTACATCTGAGCTTGCACAGAGAGGTCAGAGGGGCTGGCCATGGGGCTCTCTGCTGCCTAAGATGGACTATGGTGTCACTTTCTTTTCTCTGTGCTAAGATCAGCCTGTGCTGTGTGTCAGTCTATTAATACACTTCTGGTTTACAACACTAGCTGAGTGTCATTGCAATGCTGATTACTCCTGGGGGAATTCTGTGACACTGCACATGCACAGAATTCATAGCTCCCGCAGATTTCTTTGCTTCCCTGCAGAAAAATGACTTCTAAGGGGGAAGCAAAGGGAAGCCTCAAAAGCAGTCATGTGCCCCCTCCCTGGCAATGCAGGTAGGTTAGTTTAGACACCCAGAGCAGCGCCATGTGGGAGGTGACAGAGCCTGGGCAGCCATGCATATTAGAGAGAAAAAGACACACTTTCCCTGTCACTTGCTACTGTGGTACACTCAGCATGGAGAGGCAGGGCTTTGGAGTGTTTCTGAAGAGATAGGCCTGGGACAGACTCCATTCCCTCAGGCAGAGCAGAATGTAGCAGCCTGCCTGATTAGTAAATTGGTCAAATTGTTCTTAGTGAATTCCTCCAGGAGTTTAAAAAAGGTATAAATATGTTAATGGTCTTTTACCATGACAGATTGGCATAAAGAAACTTTATTGTAGCCAGTATAGCCTTACATGTGCTTGTGATGCTTTAGTGATTAGACCTGATCTAATTTTTTGGACTGGAAACATTTCCTATCACAATGTGCTCCATGAAGTGTTTGCTACTGGCCTTTTTTGGAGATGGTCAATAGCCAAAATAAATAGTGACTTTGAGTCTCTAGCCCTCACTGCTTCTTTACTTGCCTATGAAGTAACACTGAGCATATGGCTGCACATTACTCAAGGGTATGTCTACACTACATGGCTCCATCAATGGAGCCATGTAGATGAGCTGTGTAGACATAGCAAAATGAAGTGGCAATTTAAATAATCGCCACTTCATTTAAATCAAAATGGCTGCCACGCTGAGCCGATCAGCTGTTTGTCGGCACACTGTGGTAGTCTGGACGCTTGGTGGTCGACATCAAAAGCCTTTGTCAACTGCCTCATTATGCCTCGTGGGATGACGTTTACCGGGGCGGTCGACAAAGGCTTTTGATGTCGACCACCAAGCGTCCAGACTACCACAGTGTGCCGACAAACAGCTGATCGGCTCAGCGTGGCAGCCATTTTGATTTAAATGAAGTGGCGATTATTTAAATTGCCACTTCATTTTGCTATGTCTACACAGCTCATCTACATGGCTCCGTCGACGGCACTCTTCCCCCAACTTCCCTAACTCCTTGCACAATGAGGGTTACAGGAATTGGATTAAGCAGTCCTCCAGCTTAACATTATTTCAACATTATGTCAAAATAACTGCTTGTGTGTAGACACGGACTATGTAATTCTGGAATAACACTGATGTGTACACATAGCCTAACCCTCCACCAATTTTGGGGTCATCTGAAAATTTTACCAGCAATTATTTTATGTTTTCTTCCAATAAAGCTACTGAATAGTGTTTTCTCAGAACAGATCCCTGTGGGACCCCTCTAGAAACATCCCTTTTGATGGATGAATCCTCATTACAACTATTTGGCTAATTATTAGAAGTTTTTAATCCATCTAATGTGCGCTATGTTGAGTTTGTAGAGTGCTAACCTTGCAGGGAAACCCTGATTAAAATATCAAGTCAAACCCTTTCCGAGTCTGAGACCTGGTTTATACTGCAGAGTTAGGTTAGCTTAATTACATTGCTCAGATCTCTGAAAAATTTCACATCCTCTGTGATTAATTTAAGCCAATCAGATCCCACTGTAGACACCATTAGGCCAACCTACCTACCACCTCTCAGAGGTGAACTTACTTTCGCCATGGAAGAACCCCGTCTATTGCTATCGTAAGTGTTTACACTACAGCATTGGAGCTGTAGCCTGTCTCCTGAAGACACACCCTGAGTCTCTTAAGTCTGCCCAGTTACATTTATTGACCAAATGTGCCATCTCCTCAAAGAACGCTATGGAGTTCATTTCACAAGACTCAGCTGAGCTTCTGATCAGCAGTTTGTCCAGACCTCAGAAACCTCCATCGCTCACGTCCTGTTTTGTGAGGCTACTTCCTGTCTGAGTGCCAGAAACAGGCCCTACTCGAATGCAATTTCCAAGTTATCCAGTCCTCCCTTACCCCCAGCCCCTGCAATCCTCTGGTCACCCCGTCTGCCCAAGGAGACTCACTGGAGAGGTAAATAGCCGATTGTTGCTCTATCTCCAGCAGGCCATTCCGCATTATGCAGCTGATGTCTCCGTTGTCTTCTTCTGTGACAGTGGCGTGACTCACAACACTGTACAGGTTCTCCTTGTCCTGAGTCACATCGGTCACAGACTCCATTGCTCGATTCTGCTTATTCTTCCCAATCCACTGGAGTTCGGGTTTGGGGAACCAGCCTGTGGACCTACAGACAAGACCGATCCCTTGGCCCCGGGGGCCTACCATGCCAATGAACACCGGAGCCACAGCTGCAGGGAGAGACAGAGAGCGAGTTTCAGAGAATCATGTCTTTGGTAGCAGCATGTGATTCACCATTACCTCTGGCGTGGGGGGCTGTGACTGGAAAGCCCCATTCCCTAGAGTGCAGCTTTCCTGGGATCCCTCATTCTGACTGGAGAAATTAAATAAAACCATCTTGCATTTGCATAGAGCACCATACCTTGCAGGCTCACTGAGTTATGTGCAGATATAAACTGCTCATAGAGACCAGTGTGCTTGCTGCTGAAATGCAGCCATTTCTGGGGGTGGAGCTGTCAGGATCCCTTACAATTTGATACAGAGCAGGAGGTGAGGTATGGTGACACACCTGTATCTCTGCTACTGTTCTGCCTGTTCCATCATCCTAAATCTCCCCCCCCCCCCCCCTGGTGTACCACTTCTGCACAGATACCCATGCTCTAATCCTCCCTCATGCTTGGATTCCCCACTCCCTCCACTGTAAATGTAGAGCTGATAGGCAGAACCCAACCTGGAACCTCTGGAGCTTAGTGCTTGAGCCTCTACTGTATGAGCTAAAAAGCCAGCTTGCTCTCAACTAAGCCTACCAAGGAAGCTCACTCTTTCTTTCCATAAGCAGTATAAGTGACATTACATAGGACAATGAATAGTCCTGCCATACCTTAGTCTCCAAGGTGCTGCAGGACCATTCGTTGTTTATTTAATTTTTTTCAGTTACAGACTAACATGGCTATCTCTCTGGGAATGTCTACACTACAGCACTAATTCAAACTAACTTAATTCGAATTAGTTAATTCGAATTAAGCTAATTCTAACTAGTGCATCTAGACCTAAAAACTAATTCAAATTAGAGTTTTGCTAATTTGAACAAGCATGTCCACATTGAGTGGACCCTGAACCGAAGTTAAGGCTGACCGGAACAGGTGCTGGCAGGGCATCAGGTTAGGATTTAGAGCGTGGAGCTGCTGCCTCAGGCTAGCCGAGGGCTGTGCTTAAAGGGACCCAACCCCCACCCTGGACAGACAGTTCTCAGGGTTCCCCACTTGCTTGTCTACCTCGATGAGGGACAGCTAAGCAGTCCTGTCTTGGAGTGCCCTGAGTGCTCACACTCGGCACATCACAGCACTCGGCCATCTGCCCGGCTGCACTTGCCGCAGGCTGCCATCTGGGAGGGGTCAATCGGGGGGCTGTCAGGATCCAGGAGACCCTGCAGGAGAGCTTCCACCCCGAGGAGCCCGCAGAGCCACCCCAGTCTTCCCCATTGGGGGCTCATAACCCATTCCTCCCTCACCTCCTTCCACTTACCCCTCCCTAACCTCCCTTCCTGATGTAAAAAATAAAGGACATGTGTGTTTAAAAATAGAAACTCTCTTTATTTAACAAAACTGGAGGGGGAGGGGGATTAACCTCTGAGGAGATGGGAAAAGGAGGTGGGAGAAGGGAGGGGGAAACCTGGCAGGAGGGAGCTGGAAGGGGGAATCCAGGGGAAGAAGGAGGAGGGGAAGTATAAAACTATGGTACACCCACATCTTCAGTACTGTGTACAGATGTGGTCTCCTCACCTCGAAAGAGATGTTTTGGCCTTGGAAAGGGTTCAGAAAAGGGCAACTAAAATGATTAGGGGTTTGGAACAGGTCCCATATGAAGAGAGGCTAAAAAGACTGGGACTTTTCAGCTTAGAAAAGAGGAGACTGAGGGGGGATATGATAGAGGTCTATAAAAGCATGAGTGGTGTGGAGGGGGTGCATAAAGAAAAGTTCTTCATTAGTTCCCATAATAGAAGGACTAGAGGACACCAAATGAAATG